TTAAATACACATTGACAAGTTGTGGCTTTATGGCGTTTTAGTCACGGGCTGAAGTTATCAAAAATTAGTTGACAGTTGTCAAATGTCATACAATCGTTAAAATAAAGTCCCCTTCTTGTAAAATAATAGTAAATGTAAAAATTATTTTATTACTTTATATGAACATTGTATTGACCTTTTAGTTTCGGCTGCGGTAAACTAGATTTAACTTAATTATAGGTGGAGTGCCCCTAAAACATTTTCTTTACTTTCAATTTAAAAAACTGCTTTCATATCGAATTTAAACGGTCCATTTTCAAGGAACACATTTCGATTTATACATATGTATAAATTAGACATTCGCAAGAATAGTTACTCTAATGTTTGATAGATGTCGCTCTATACAAATATTTAATTTGAATCATTTTTAGATAATAATTAACTTATCCATATACTTGTATATGTCGTAAAATAAAAGTAGAAGTATAGTATGCAAATCGTTTATACAGCGGCGTAACTAGAAAAAGTGCCGCCCGGGGCAGCAGTGGCTTTCGCCCTCATGTTTTTTTTTGGGGGGGGGAAGAGAGGTTAGGTTATGAGTCAGTTTTGAGGACCGTACGCAAAATTAAAAATATATAATTATATATATAACATTAAATTGTAATATTTTAAGAATTAAAAACGAACAAAAATTCTTAGACCTAGGTAAAGAAAAACAACAAATAAAATGTGCTTTAACATAATTTATATGAAAAAAACAAAGATATAAATTCTCAACCTTATGTAAAAGTACCTACAAAAAAAACTTAAACCTGAGTAAAAAATTATCAAATATTTTTTTTATTTTTATATTGTCTTCCAGTTTTTTTCGCATTTTCTCTCACGATTTTTGCCGCCCCAAGAAGTGCCGCCCGGGGCGGACCGCCCCCCCCCGCCCCCCCCTAGTTACGCTACTGCGTTTATAAACGTTTCTGGACACTCATTTAATTAAAATTAAATTCGTGACTAAAATGCTTTTAAACAATTTAGTAAAAGTTCAAATATTTTTTTATAATTAAAATTTTTTAAATACCATCCTGTTATAACTATAATGCAATTTAATCAAAATCCTAATAAATTTTAAAAAGGATAGTATCAGTATACGTCTTTTAACTGTTATGCATATTAACTAACACCTGGTGGATAGGATAGGATAAATTGGGTCACTAGTTTTAGACCAACTAAAACTTTTAGTTGGTCTTTAAGTGGAACAAAATTATTCTTTTTGGATGATATGTTTTAATCTAGGTATCTACCGAATTTGTTATCATTAAATTATTTTAATTAAATTATGTATTAATATTAAATTATATATTAACTAATTATGTACATATGTAATAAAAACTAATACTAAGGTAGTATATGGGCCATACAACGGTAAATTATACCCACACTTAATATAATAATTGAAACTAAAATTTGGTTAAAGAAATATAACATTTAGTTAATTTAGGAATGAATATTATAGCTTTAAATGTGTATAATTTACAGTTATTCTATTAAAACTTAAAATTATTTTTTTGCAGTAATAAAATATTTAAATTATTAATTTAATGTTACTTTCGCACATATAGTATTAATGGCCGTATGCACACACCTTTTATTTCTTTACTGGTGAGTTTCCATCATCGCGGAATACCTAAAAAGTTATGCTTTCAGGCTTAATTTTCTTTTAAATTTATTAGTATTGCATTTAAAAAAGGTTATCATAATAAACTTGGTGATTTTAAATAAATATGACAATCATCTAAAATCTTAAAAGATATAAAAAAACAGCTTAAATATATTTTTTCTACTCTCACCATCAAAACGATCATTATCGTACATTGCACATTGATAAGTTGTGGCCTTACGGCGCTTTAGTCACGGGCTGAAGTTAGTTTTAAGATAGTTGACAGTTGTCAAATGTCATACAATCGTTAAAATAAAGTGCCTTTCTTGTAAAATAATACTAAATGTGAAAATTATTTTATTATCTCAATACAAAAATACAAAAGTATTAAATAGTTTCTCAACGCCAATATTTGAAAAGTTTATATGAACATTGTACGGACCTTTTATATTCGCCGGCAGTAAACTATAACTTAAATTCGGGCACGGACTCCACTGTAAAGTGCTCATAAAACATGTTCTTTACATTCACTGTAAAAAACTGTCCATTTTCAAGAAATACATTTCGATTTATAGCCTTTATAATCTGTGTTTATAGATTATAAAAATTTGACATTTGACGGTGACACACAGATTCCCTTATTGTTTCATAGATGGCGCTGTATAAAAATATTTGATTTAAATCATTTTAAGATAATAAGTATTTGTCGTAGAAAAAGTATAGTATGCACCTCGTTTATAAACTTTTCTATACACTCATTAATTTAAGAACTCGCTCGCAAGCTCGTTCGTGCCTAAATTAAATTCGTGTATAAAATGGCGTTTATCAAACTTGATACTTACTATACTATTAACTATAGTTTTAAAAAACCATATTGTTTATATATTATTTTTTATATCATAGGTAAAGAAAGTGTCAAAATTGTTAATAAATTCTGTGTTTATTACTAGACTGCTAACCCCTTATTGTACAATGTACATACACATTAAACAGTAGGTATAACTTATACTGTGGACATTGTTTGGAAAGAGATTAAAATAAACGATGATCTCTTTTTTTAATATACGTAAAACATATTACGTTTATTAAATATGAAATATATTACTAACAAAATTTATAATATATATATATATATATTATATAATATATAATATAATATATTACATATATACACACCATAATCGATCCACACAATTTTTCGATGAATTTCAATCGCAAATAACTTTTTTATTTGTTTTCGGATTTAAACAAATATTAAAGAATATTGTAGATACATTAATGGAGAATCGCTCACATTTTAAAAATTACTAAAAAATACACGTAGGTTTATAATATTATATTATAAACCTACGTGTATTTTTTGGTAATTTTTAAAATGTGAGCGATTCTCCATTACTAAAAAATACACGTAGGTTTATAATATTATATTATAAACCTACGTGTATTTTTTAGTAATTTTTAAAATGTGAGCGATTCTCCATTAATGTATCTACAATATTCTTTAATATTTGTTTAAATCCGAAAACAAATAAAAAAGTTATTTGCGATTGAAATTCATCGAAAATTTGTGTGGATCGATTATTGTGTGTATATATGTAATATATTATATTATATACAGGTTTAAACAAAAATATGTTTTTTACTATAAGTTTAAGACACTGTAGAGTGGCCAAACCGTATAGTTCTAAATTAAGTTTTAATTATCAAGTCACATCTATTTTTAACAGTTTTGTTTTTGGTTCACCTGGATATATTTATTTTTGTGGAAAATATGGATTTAAAAAAAAAAACATTGCAATTTCCAATATTTTTCCTCTATGAAGAACTAAGGTTGCTATGGTCCATCCATAGCCTATGGAGGATGTCAGTGACAGTTTTGTTGAATCATCCCATACTTGGACATGTCATATACAGCTTTCAAAAGCTATCAAATTGTTTTTTGCAAATTAATGTGTTAATTCTGAGGTGTCTTCTTACTTTTAAAAATGTCTCCGACTGACGTTGCCCTTTGTACTTTACTTCTTGTGACGTACTTTACTTCTTGTGACGTTGGACACAACACTTGCCACGTATTACTGTGACCGTCCATCCTGGATTAAATGAATGGCTCTGGCAACATCAGTCGGAGACATATCCATTTTTTAAAGTATATAAGAAGACACCTTAAAATTTAAACATTAATTTGCAAAAAAACAATTTGATAGCTTTTGAAAGCCGTGTATAACATGTCCAAGTATGGGATGATTCAACAAAACTGTCACTGTCATTCTCCATAGGCTATGGATGGACCATAGCAACCTTAGTTCTTCATACAGAAAAATATTGGAAATTGCAATGTTTTTTTTTTAAATCCATATTTTCCACAAAAATAAATATATCGAGGTGAACCAAAAACAAAACTGTTAAGAATAGATGTGACTTGATAAATACAACTTAATTTAGAACAATATACGCTTTTGCCAGTCTACAGTGTCTTAAACTTTTGCTAAAAAACATATTTTTGTTTAAACCTGTATATTATAAACGTACGTCTATTTTTTAGTAATTTTTTAAAATGTGAGCGATTGTCCATTAATTTATCTACAATATTCTTTAATATTCGTTTAAATCCGACATCAAATAAAAAAGTTATTTGCGATTGAAATTCATCGAAAATTTGTGTGGATCGATTATTTTGCCTGTGAGTGTATTATTATCACCACGTTTGTTTTTTTTTGCAATCGATTTTAACTAACTTTCAGATAAGCTAGTGACTTTAAATTTTGAATTTAGCTCAAAACTAGATGACAATATACGATATGGCGGCCGCCCCCAGATGGCGGATTACATATTTCGTCACAACGCCCATGACATGAGTATCAACTGATAAGGTTTAACGAGTAGAAATGATTGGGGGAGTGACGTTACACTTAATCCAATATGGCGGCTGCCCCAAGATGACGGATTACCTACTTCTTCACAACCTCCTTTACATAAGTATCAAATGAAAGGGTTTCTCAAGCAGAATACGTGACGTCAATCTATTTTTAATAGACTACCTACTCAATTTTAAAACTAAAAAGTAAAAATTAATAAATTATTAGTTGACAAATGTAATAAATTACCTTTATATAGTTTTTTGATTTGTCCGCCTGCTTAAAATGGCTCAAAACACGTTTTAACGACTAATAAAAATTCATGTCAATAGGTTAAATAAAAATTAAGTGAGTGGGACACGGTATAAAACCACCCTGTAAAAATCTATGGTACCATATTTTGTCCCACAAATATTTTGACATTTGTGGTGTAACATTTATAAATAAACCTACCACCTAAAACGTTTTATTTCAAAAATTATGACCCTGTATATTAATAATTTTATTTATTTCAGAAATTTATTCTGAAGACTCACTGGGAAATGCGCTTACTTTGTATCTTTATTGTTGGCCTTCTATGTCAAGGGGTAAGTTAAAGCTAATAAATTATAAGTAATATTATATCCAGTGATGGACGGTGGGTAAATACCAAATGGGTAGGTAAACAAAATTTGGGTATATACCTGGTATACACAGACAGGATGGGTATGTGGGTATATACCTATTGGGGAACATTGGATATATACCTGATATATACCCGGTATATACCAGGTATTTACCATCCGGTTATTGTCGACTTGTTAACGAATTCTATTATAAAATTAGGGTATTTCCCTTAATCGCGCTGTCGTATTTCCGCTTCGAGATAGAATATTATTTTTCTACTCCTATTACGGAATATCACGTTTTAATGTGGAATGACATATATTCCTAAAAGTATTGAAAGAATGAATTATTCTATCTTCGGATGACGGAATAAACCCTGGTGGCGACATCTCTGTGTTTAATATCTAACAAATTTTAGACTGATCCAACCTCACTTTCTCCCAATTAAATTATTTTTCTATGGTATTTTTTGGAAACGTAGAAAAAGTATAGTCTAAAACACGTTTGGAATTGCATATATATTCCGCTCTCGTGAAACCGCCAAACACGCCTTCGGCTCGTGTGACAAACTTTTCACTCGAGCGGAATATGCCGTATTCCAAACTTTTTACAGATTATACTATTCTTGAAATAATGCACTTTTATTTTTCGTTTTATTTCGATTTATTTAATTACTTCTTATTCTTAATTTAACTACAATTTGTTAAACTACCTTAAATTAACAAACTAGCAATACCTTGGTATTTACCATATATTACCTGAATTTACAATTGGGTACATACCTAAATTTCAATATACCTGGTTTTGCCAATCACTGATTATATCGCACTTATAACACAGTTCAACAAGATTTTCCTCCCATTTAATTTTTGATTTTGTTTTTAAATAAAACAACCGATTTGTATTTATCATATATTCAATATATCAAATTAAAAAACCTTTCGATTATTGTAACTATTCCTAAAGTTAATAATTCCATAGAAATTTAACAATTTCTAAAATATAATTTTGTATCAAAAAACCTATGACGAGTGAGTCTGTCATTGTCAAAAGTTTAATAGTGCTAATTTTGCAGGTTGTTATAAACAATTTGTTGAATAATTAAGTGTTTTGTAAACAAAATGATAAAAATCAGCGATTTATAAAAAACATTGACAAGCCAAACATTTTTAAAATTTAAAAGTAATACAAACAGTATTTGCTAATTTAAAAAAAAAATCAATAAAGCTGTAGGATGTCAACCAGAAGCACTAGCTTTAATATTTTAATAACAAAAATAATGCGTAACTGTAGCACTTTTAAACCAACAATATTTTAACTAACAATTTTTATTACTTATTTATTACTAAATGTTCAGTGTCCTCCATTTACATTCAAGCATTTCTTAATTCTTACTTCTACATTAGGCGTTGCTTCACTAATATTTGAAATTGTTAAATATCCCTGAAATTATTAAATTTAGGTATAGGGAATAGTTACATCAATCGAAATGTTTTTTAATTTTATATTTGATTATGTAAAAACATACAGGGTGTTACTTTTAAAATAAAAAATTTATTAACGTTTCAAGTTAACCTCATTTTTCTTGGGTAATTTCTTGAAAAATGTTAAAGAATTGACATGGAATATTTTAAACAATGTTTTAAGAAAGTTATAGGCTATTTTTGATTGACACGCATTTTTATTTTAACGAAAAAAATTATTAACCCGAAAACTATTCACTTTAGGTATAGGACAGGCTAAAGTAATTTTTAGAAGTTTATGTAGAATTTAAAAATGTAAAAATATATGGGGCGTTCTATTAAAAATGTCACTTCTGGTCAAACCGGACGTAAAATTTTGATCAAAATATTTTTGAAATATGGCTTAATTGGATTATACACGCTTTAAAATTTTTAATTCAATACACTGAAAGAAATTTGTTGCTAAAAGTAAATACAAATTTATACTAAAAATTTTATACTAGTGCTTTACACATTTATACTACTGTTTATTATGAATGTATGGTAAATTTTGTAATACATTTATTGTAAAGAAGATATGTTAGATCTAAATAAAAATAAACTTACCCTTACTATAAAATGTAAACTATAAGTGAATTACAGCAAAAAAATATTGCTAGAAACACCATTTATATTGCTAGGGCAGCAATAGGCTGCTAACCAAACGAATATATTTGTTTTAGCAATGTATGTGGTAGTCTATATATGAAACATAAAATATATTTGCCCTAATTATTTTTTTATTTAACTTTAGTATATATTTCTTTCAGTGTATCTTTTGCCGTTCCCCAGAAACTTTTAATGGACCACGAACGTAAATGTACAACACCCTGTATGTAATTAAATTAATTTTAAAATGTAGCTTTCATGGTTGTCCATTTATTTAGTGAATAATTTTTTTTAAACCATACAGTCTAGCTGTTTTCGAAGCTGTTATATTATGTGCCGAATACCGTGGATAATTTTGGATATTGGAAAATGACGTGATCTGAAAAGTCTATTTTTAAAATCTATAGGAATTTTTAATGGGAGGGAATAAAAATCAAATTTTGTCGTACTGTGTAATATATCTCATAAAATTAAGATTAAGAAATATAAAAATGACCATTCTTATAAATAAATGAAAATGTATGTAAGTTCATCATATACGAGTATATTTAAATAAAACTATAATTTGCCACCATATTTTGTTTCACTGCATATAGGTACCTATTTGTCAAGAGTGACAAAATCTAAAAGTTTTACTGTTAAGTAGCTACTTATTGATTATTGATTAACAAAGACCGGATTTTAGGCCCTTAAAAATTGGCCTAAACCGCCTAAATAAAAACACAACAAAAAATACATGCCTCTCTTAATATAAAATACCTAATAAAAATAATAACACAAACTCTTGCAAACAATTGAATAAAGAAAAGGAAAACCTAACTTGTAAAATTTAAAGCAAATCTTTTGGCAATATATATATATATATATATATATATATATATATATATATATATATATATATATATATATTGGAATAAACAGGCGACGCTGAACAACGTTCATTCCAACGGTTAACAAATTATATAACTAAAAACTGTTAAAAAGTCTGAAATTACCATATACATAAATGGAAATTACAATAAAACCTATGAAAATAAAGTAAATAATAATTTTCAACCATTATTTTACAAACTTAATATTATCCATAATTATTTATAATAAAAATTAAGATAGCAAAAACACAATTACTTTTTTATTAGGTTTTCACTAGTTCCATAATTTGTGGTCCTCGTACTCGCCAAGGGCGCCTAGGCAAAATAAGAGCATGAAAGAAGGGTCTAATTAAAAATAATTTACTTTTCCGCAAAGAAAAATATATTTTTTACTGAAAAATTTAAAGAGCCTATTTTAGGCTAATAAAAATTTCCTTTTAGGATTTTATGCATAAACATGTTTAGGATTAATTTCAAGGTCCTCATCAAATGCCTAAAATAGAAACAAAAAGGCATTTTGCCTAAAATCCGGTCCTTGATGATTAATAATAGTTCTTCGTAAAATAAAGTCAAAATGGGCAACTTTTAAGTGTTCATATTTTTAGGCAAACTGCATACGTTTGAAGATAAATTGAAAAAAGAATGGCTATAGATTTGTCATTTGCAATTTCTATAGTTAGGGTATAGGGTATATACCCTCTTTCCCATGCTTATACAACCGCCTCACTTACTTCCTCTCACTTACTCCTCGTTTCAAACGAGTCGTTTGTAATATTTCGTAGAATGCACCCAAATAATAAAAATAGCATTTAATTTCTAAACCCTTATAACTTAAAAACAACTCGTTAAAATTAAAATCTAATTTTTTCATACTACAGCCTGGCAGTTGCTTTTTATCCATTTTTTTGTAATAAAAAGTACGTTTTTTCTGTAGTTTGTTGCAGTTTACAAAATTGCAATTTTTTACACTTTTCGAATGCGGTCTTGTCTATCATTTTATTAAAAGTAAATGTAAAAGTCGATTTTCTATTCATTGATTAACTAGATCATAACTTACACCTACAGTAAGAATTTCCATCGAATAAGACCAAGCCAATTAAAATTATGATAAGCTTCTATGGTGCCTTATTGCTAATTGGGTTAATTGATTCGTAAGTAATAAGTACACAATTATTTTGGGAAATATTATCTAAGTAGGTCTACTGTTCAGTTTAAACTAAATCCTATAAAATTAGCTGCTTACAAAGTTTCAATTGGAACGATTTACCGCGGGCGAGTAAATTTCAATAATTTTGCACTTATGCCTTCAATACTTACCTAGTTTCGCTGAAAATACGTTAGATTGTTTTGTATTCGAACAATGGTTTTCCCTTTCGAAGGAATTTAAATTATCTAAACATAACGGAAATAGCGATTTTAGAACAACGTAATTTTCCCATGCAATAATTTTATATTTTTAGCGGCACTTAAAATTACAGATAGCTTTGTTAATAATAAAGTATATTATAAAAATACTTTAAAATAGACTAAATATAAGTTTGTATAATGTATGCATGTTATTGTCTTCTTAATTAGTAATTATACGAATTTTTCACTTCCGTGGCACATTGCACTGCTAGCCTACAAAAATGTATCAGTTGGTCTGCAAAACGTTTATTACCTACTAGATTATATTTTAAACAACTTGCATATGAACTTAATATTATTAAGTATTTGCTAATTTGTCTGTTAATGGATGTTAAGTAGTTACTGTATTCAAACCTTCTTTACATATTTATTATTTAAATTATGATTCAAAAGAAAATATTAACTTTTTATCTTAGATAATTCATTTCCATGTAGGGCGGCTCGTGGTTTTAGTATAGTGAAATGCGTTGCAGGGTGAGTGCAAGGTAATGACCTTGGCCCTGGTTTTCTAAATAGACTATATTTAATAGAGAATATGAAAAGAATTTTTTAAAAGTGTTTTAAATTTTAGATTAACCCTTCGGTCTTTAA